TCTGCATATAAGTTAAGTGAGCAGGGTGACAATATTAAAAATTACAGGAGTTTAAATTCATAGGTAAATGTTCAGCTTTCCTTCTTCCTGGAGGCGTTTAACCCTGAATGACAGCGAAATTCCGCTGCACCCAATGCCCATTGATCAGCTGTTCCTTACTCTAGGAACCACTCCTTTTGTCTCCAGGCAAAACATTGCTTTCTGTTTCTCTCCCAGGACAATTTATAAACATTTCTAACAGAATCTGTTACCAGTTTTAATTGGGTTGTGCGTGCTAAGCTGCTTCAATCATGCCTGACTCTTTGAGACCCCATGGACTGTAGCCTGCCAGGCTTCTTTGTCCCTGGGATTCTCCAGGCAGGAATACTGGAGTGGGTTGCCATTTCCTTCTCCAGGGGATCTTCCTAACCCAGGGGTTGAATCGTGGTCTCCTGCATTGCAGGCGGATTGTTTGCCAACTGAACCACCAGGGAAGCCCATTGGTGTGATCTTCAAAATTCTTTAAAGTGAACAACTTAGTCTAAAGCAGAGTCTGTGGCCTTGATTTTGGACAAATACAAAGATATCCAGAAAAAAGTAGGCCACAAACAGTTACTCTGGGATGATAAACAATTGTATGTAATAATTTGAGGGACTTCCCTGGTGTTCCAGTGGTTATGATGTACTTCCAATGCAGGGGGCATGGGTTTCGATCCCTGGTGGGGGAACTAGGATCCTGCATGCCTCAAGGCGTGGACAAAAAGTATTTTTTTAAAATGTAATAATTTGAAATCAGCCTGACTTCCTTTTATATTTTCTCCTGATTTTCATCCTCCCTACACTTTCCTGGTTCTCTGGGTGTCATCTAAAACAATCAAAGGAGGCAGCTGGCCTCACACCTCCAGACCATGAGTAAGGAATCCAATTTAGCCAGAATGGACTTCTGACTTACAGAACTGTGTGACAATAAATGGCTATTGTTGTTCATCGCAGCACTATTTATAATAGCCAGGACATGGAAGCAACCTAGATGCCCATCAGCAGACGAATGGATGAGGAAGCTATGGTATTATTACTCAGCCATGAAATATTACTCAGCCATTAAAAAGAATTCATTTGAATCAGTTCTAATAAGATGGATGAAACTGGAGCCCATTATACAGAGTGAAGTAAGCCAGAAAGAGAAAGACCAATACAGTATACTAACGCATATCTATGGAATTTAGGAAGATGGTAACAATAACCCTATATGCAAAACAGAAAAGGAGACACAGATGTACAGAACAGAATTTTGGACTCTGTGGGAGAAGGCGAGGGTGGGATGTTTCGAGAGAACAGCATTGAAACATGTATATTATCTAGGGTGAAACAGATCACCAGCCCAGGCTGGATGCATGAGACAAGTGCTTGGGCCTGGTGCGCTGGGAAGACCCAGAGGAATCGGGTGGAGAGGGAGGTGGGAGGGGGGATTGGGGTGGGGAATACTTGTAAATCCATGGCTGATTCATGTCAATGTATGACAAAAACCACTACAATATTGGAAAGTAATTAGCCTCCAACCAATACAATTAAATGAAAACAAATAAATAAATGGCTATTGTTTTAAGGTGGAAAACAATTACGAATTAATAGTGTCATTTTATTCATTGACCAGGTGGGTGGCATCTATCCACTCATCTTTATTTTACGACCCAGATGGGCATACGGTATGTCACTTTGTTTGCTGTTTAATTCATTGAAGACACCTAGAGAAGACAAGACTTGTTTTCAACCTCAGCCATGATGCTTCTGTAAAAAATTAATAAACAGAAACTTCAATCAAATAGAGTTGGGAGGCCAGAGTGGGAGCGCTCATGCACTTTAAAGGACCATAGCAGAGCACAACAGGAAGAAGGAAGACTCCTTTGCTTTCCTGGCAAGGTTTCAGCCGATGAAAAGCCAAGACCACTTTTCTAGAGCCCGCCCAACCTCCTTTTCCCGTCTATAACAGCGTTCTCCTTCCCTTGCCCATTGGGGGCTTAATACCAAGCTGTTAACACTGCAGGGTGGGGAGAAGCCCATGACAACTATAAGCAAAGGGTAACAGAATCTATATTGCCGTAAAGCCTCTACATTTTCCTGTGGTCAAAGCAAAAATTGCACCCAAAACAACTTAAACAGGGGACTTCCATGGAGGTCCGGTGGTTAAGACACCAGCTTCCACTGCAGGCGGAACCCTGCAGGTTCCAACCCCAGTGGGGACCTAAGAACCCTCATGGCCAGTGTGGCTAAAAAAAAGGGGGAAAAAAAGTTAAACAGGCAAGGAAGATGATATGGAAGACTACTGTAGTAATGGAGAAAGGCTAAGACTCAGTCTGAGCTCAGCTGAAACAGAAGGCAGGAGAGTGTCTCAGGGCTGAGGTGGGCTTGACCTATGGGGTGTGTCCAGCTTCTTGAGATATCCCTGAGTTCACAATGGATTTTCTCTGTGATTAGGAGATCTCTGGGTGTTATTTAGCACCCATGGAACTTAGACTTCTCCCCCGCGAATGGACTAGGAAATACACAGGGAGTATAGGTCCCTCCCACTTGCCCAGGCCGCCATTTCAGTTGTCACCCCAGCAGATCTCCTTTCCATTGTAACCAGGTGAGAGGGCAGGAGGACCCGCAGTGCTGATGTCAAAGCTGCCATCCCATGCAGCGGCTCCTGAGCAAGGTACCCTGCTCCCCAGAGTTTCCACTCTGCTGGGCAGGGACCGATCCTGTACAATTAGAGCTCAGCCCGGGAGAAGGGGTACGTGTCCTGTCAAGAAGCTCATCACTCTCAGGGCAAAAACCTCCAACCCACAGACCCTGGAGATCTGGGAGCGCCCCAGTTCGGCAGTGCATCCCTAGGCCGCCCCAGGGACACAAACACACACACACCCCCGCCCCAGGGGCGCGCACACACACACACACACACACACACACACACACACACACACTGACACTCCCCCGCGCATGCGCCATCTCTCCGGACCCTTTGCGCGCCCCGTGCACGGGCGCCCATTCTTTGCTCACAGGCTCTCGAGCTGCGTCCCAGCAACGCGCCAAACTGCTCACTTCACCTTTGGCTGACTTGGCAGTTGAACCAGAGCTCTCTGAAGTTATCCCTCTATCCAAGCGCCGACCACCCACCCACGTGCCCTATGGGCACTTACCTGGGCAGGCCCTGCCCCTCACCCCCACCCCGGGCTCTGGGGGGCCAGCACCTGCCAGGACGGCTCGGCTGCCCCCAGCCCGATCCCCGCCCCCGCCGGTTTTCCGTGGCCGGCCCAGGTCACCCAGCTGTCCGTGCCCCGCTGTCCACTCGCAGGCCAGCCCACAAGTATCCGGTGACTCTGCATCTGCGCTTTGTCCGAGCGTCTCTGAGATGGTGCTGTATGATCCCGCAGGCCCTGCGCTCCTTCCTGGGGGTCCTCACCTCCCTCTGCAGGCGACACCATCAGAGGAAGGCGGTGCTGGGTGCTCGCATCTCCACGATGTGCCGCGGCTCAGCGTCCGCAGTGGGCACGGTCCCTGGGTGTGGTGGGCGCCAGCAGCAGGTCACCCCCGTGCCGCCCACCACACTCAGGTGTGCCCCGGGCTCCTGCACAGAGAAGACGGTGAGGAGCGCCCTGGGAGAGAGCGGGAAGGGGCTGGCCCAGCAGGAGGGAGACCCCGCATTCAGACAGAAGGACCATCAGAAAGGGGGTCCCGATGGCTCTCGGGGTGCACGGTCAACATTTAGGCCCTTTGGGGCCCGGGGAGACTTCTCTGCCTTCGTGCCCAGGCCTGGGCCTCTGCGGAGAAACCTCCACGCCGAGAGCTCGGTAGACACATCCGCCGAGAAACTCCAGACCTCTTGTGTGAGCTCCTGCCCCCAAAGAAACGCCATCACGAGCTCCCACAGCTCCACCCGAGGTTTCCCGCCAGGGCAGAGGAGGACGGGCCCCCGCATGCCGCGAGGGCTGCCCCGGAGGTCCTCGAGGAAAGCGAGCGACGGGGGCCCGGCGCCGCCCTGTGCCGCCCCGGTGGCTTCCCAGAGCAACAGCCGGCCTGAGGACGCGGAAGCTTCCAGGGGGCAGAAACGCACCTGGGAGAATGGCCCCCCCACATCGGACAGTCCCAGGCCCGGAAAACGCAGGTTTCCTCTGCTGCCGCGCAGGCGAGGGGAGCCGCTGAGGCTGCCCGCACCCCCTGAGCTGGGTTTCCGAGTCACCGCCGGAGACCTGGACGCGGAGAAAGCAGCGGCGCTCCGGCGCATCAACAGCGCGCTGCGGGATGAGACCCCGTCCCCGCAGCCCTACCGTCCCTTCCCCGCGCCGGCCGACCCTCCGGTCCCCGGCAGGGCTCCTCGGCCCGAGAGAGGCCAGAGGGAGTCGGCCTCCCCAGCGCCAGTAGACGCCCGGGAGTCTGCTGGAGGGGCCCCCGCTGCGCATCCTTGGTCAGGGGGAAGGCACGGCTCCTCCCGGCCCCTGTCTCCCCGGTCCCAGCCCCTCCCGGGCCCTCCTTCCCACTCACGGCCCCCCGGCCCTTTCACCTTGCCCACCCAAGCTTCCTCCCCAGGATCGGGCAGCGCGAGCCTGAATGCTCGGCCGCCAAGCCCCTCGGCCCCTGCTTCGGCCCCCGCAACAGGCACGGCGGGTGCGAGGGGAAGCCCGGCTCCGGCCTGGGCCCCGGGTTCGGCTTGGCTTCCCGGCTTCCAGAGGCCCGTCCGGGGGCCTCTTAGGAGCGCGGCAGGAGGAGGAGGCCTTTGCCAGCCCCCGGCGTGGGGCCCGGCTGCGGAAGATGCCACACAGGCCTTCCCTGCAGCGCCGGGCTCCTCGGGCTTGGGGTCCCCCACACCCATGTGCCTGGACTCTCCTGTCTTCACCCGCCATAGCCCCCCTCCCGTATCTGATCCTCAATCCCTGCTCCCCATCGGCCAGCTCATCAGCCAGCTCATCCGGTTTTCTCTCCAAACCAGACCCTCACCCTGCACATCTGGGGGCCTGACTCCCCACCCCGCTTCTGACACTCAGGTCACCCCCATGGACACCAGTCCACCCTCCCCGTCTCCCCTCTTCGGGTCTCCCCCTGGATCCAGCAGGAGCCTCTTCCCATCTTCCCAGGCCCTGCAGACACCCCCCAGGGACAGCGCGGCCTCTGCCACGGTCAGCACCAGCCTGCCTGGACTCCGGTTCAGCTGCTCCTCTCACACCAGAGCCCCGGCCCAGCCCACCTCTGGGGTCCCTGATGTGCAGCAGCGCCGAGCCCCCGCCTGGGGCCACTCACCACACTGTGGAAACCCGGCAGCTCCAGCCCTAACGGGGAATCCAACCTCTGCTCCAGGCCCCCCAGCTCCACCCACCAACTCCCCCATGGGCACCCGTGCCAGCACCCAGCCGGCCTCGGCTGCATTCCCAGCTGGCCCAGCCCCTGCCGCTGCCACCTGCGTGCCCCAGGCCGTGCCCAGTGCGGGGCCCCGCAGCGGGCCGCGCTGCCCAGCAGTCAGTGGATCACGCACAGCCCCCTGCAGGCCGGGGGGCTCGGCCGCACCTCGGGGCGTTGGAAGTGGAGCGTCCGTCCTGGATGTCAGCTGCCTCTTTGCTGCTCTCAGCCTTTCAACACAGAGAAGGGGAGCCCGGAGAACCACACACAGCAGAGCGGGAAGAGTGGCCCAGAACACCGGGGCCTTCCTGGCCAGAGCCCCCCCATGGTGATTATGGGGCCCAGGGATAAGAATAAGCCCACTGCTAAGAATAAGCCCAGCACTCATGAGAAGCCTGGCTTTGGAGGTGCTACTGCCCCCATCTTCAGTCACGTGCCTGGGGGTGCCCCCGGGCAGAGCCCCCATACTTCCAGCCGAGAAGACAGCCCACCCCCAGCCAAGGTTGCCTTCAGGGGCGTGTCCACCCCAGCCTCTACCCCCAGCAGCCCCAGCTCCAGGGGCTCACAGCCAGGAGACGCCGTCCTCTTAGGGACCCGTCAACCTGCTGAGGACTTGGCTGGACTCAAGACAGTTGAGCCGTCAACCAAGTCCTCCTCCTCCAGGGCGCGGTCCACTCTCCTGGGGTCTAAGAGGCGGATGAAGACCTGAGCCGAGAACTTTGGGGACAGACAGTGTCTACCTTCCTCCCAGGCTAGGCCTCGCGTGAGCCCTGTTTCCATTGAAACCCACGTCTAGCCCTCACCCCTCTACTTCCAGAGCAGTCCCGGCACGTGGAGATACAGCACTCGTCCCCTTCCCCCGCCTGCCACCTTCCCCTCTCAAAGGTGGGTGGTTCGAGGCTGTTGCCCCATCCCAGTGCTCAGTCCTCAGGACAGCAGACAGAGGCCCTGGTCCTGCTCCCTCCGCTGCCAACCCCCTCCCCCGTTGCCTACAGCTCACTCCTTCCCTCTCCCTGTCTTCCTTCCAGAACCCTCATGTTAACTTCATCATGTAAAATTTTTTTCTCATTACTTGGCACAGTCCTTATGTGTCAAGGGAACTGTTGATCAAGTGTGGGAAAGTACTGGCTTGTACGAGTGGTTGGGCTTCCCAGGTAGGGCTCGTGGTAACCCAAATGCCAATGCGAAGAAACACAGGTTCAGTCCTTGAGTTGAGAAGATCCCCTGAAGAAGGGCATGGCAACCCACTCCAGTATTCTTGCCTGAAGAGTCCCACGGACAGAGGAGCCTGGTGGGCTACAGTCCACGGGGTTGCAGAGTCAGGTACGACTGAGCATGCATGCTTCCGCTTGCTTACTTGATGATTGCAGAGAAGGGACAAAGCCATTGGTTTAGTGAAATAAACATTTGGTGACAGAAGTTAGAAGGGCCTGGGTCATCCTCAGGAATAGTCCCGGGGTGGGGTTTCTAGGGTGGGGCTCTGGAGAGGTCCCTCTCAGAGGAGGAGACGGGAGTCTGTCCTCTGCTTCTACAGGGTCTGGGGATGGAGGAGGAACCTTCAGGGCCTGGACTCTGGTGAGAAAGGATGAGTAGGGAGGGTGAGCTCTCAGAGCCAGTGCAGGCTAGGGCCCTTCCTCAGGCCCTCCCCAGCCCAGGCTGCTCAGACAGTGGCTCACCTCAGCAGTCCGTGAGAGGCTTCCCTGGTGGCTTCCCCCAATAGCAAAGAATCCACTTGCCAGTGCAGGAGACAGGGGTTCGATCCCTGATCTGGGAGGATCCTACGTGCCTTGGAGCAACTAAGCCCATTCACCACCACTACTGGGCCTGTGCTCTGGAGCCCACGTGTCACAACTACTGAAGCCCTCCTGCCCTAGAGCCTGTGTTCCACAAGAAGAGAAGCCACTGCAATGAGGAGCCCCCTCACCACAACTCGAGGGCAGCCCCTGCTCTCCACAACTAGAGAAAAGCCCGTGTAGCAGTGGAGACCCAGCACGGCCAAAACTAAGTGAATAAATTAAAAAAAAATTCTTTAAGTCAGTAAGACATTGAGGGTCACAGACTTAATTCATTAAATTCCCAGTGTACCAGCCTAGATGGCTACTTTTCCAGTTAAATTTGTATGAACTGCTTGCGCATCCAAGGCTCGCCCGTTGAAGGGAAGTTAAATCTTGGCAGAGCCATCATGTGACAGTTGGTTTGGAATGTCCTAAGTTCTGAGCCAGCTTAGGGGTCAAACAGACCGCTGGTCACGCAGGGTGGTCACCTGGTCATCAGGAAGGCTCAGGCGTGAGACAGCTGACAGTGTGAAGACGCTGGGGTAGGATGAACACATGGTTGGACTTCCCCTGGTCCTTCAGAGGGGCTTCCTTTGGAGATATCTGTCATGTTTGGGGTCAAGGATTAAATCCTAGAGGTTGGGGGCTGGCTCAGGGTTTGAGCCATTCTTTTGGCTCAAGACCTCCTCCGGGGTATCAGTTCTCTCCCCGCAGAAACCCTGGGGCAGGATATTTTGAAAAAGAGGGGGAGAGGAGCCCTTGGTTGGCGAATAGGGCATCATTGGGAAGTCTTAGAGATTCAGGGATCTCCGTCCTCAAGGAACCAACTACATTCCTGTCTCAGTTCCATCATGCATCATGTGACTCTGGACGAGGCCCTTAAAATGTCTCAATTTCAGTTCTGTGAACTAGCAAGCCACACCAGTACTCTTGCCTGGGAAATCCCATAGACAGAGAGAACTGGAGGGCTACAGCCCATGGGGTCACAAAGAGTCGGACACAACTTAACGACTAAGTAACAACACCACCATGTGGGCTACAGCCCCTGCACTGTCCCCGCCACGAGGCTGACATGGGGAGTCATGGGAAACATTTAGGTGTATTCTTCACGAGCCTCAAAAGCACCCTTCCCATGTACAGGATGAAAAGTAAACATCCACCCTTCCCTGTCCTATAGCTATCCAAGTCCTCTCTCTGGAGGCAATCCGACCCAGTTTCTAGCTTTTGCTTCTGGACATTTACTGAGCAAGCACTTAAAGAGGACTTCTGAAGTACTCTTTCTTAATCTTTCCTTGTATTTAACCATTTTAAGCCTCACACCGTGATACTGTAGGCTCTATGTAAGAACAGTGCAGAGAACCTCGGGGAGAGGTCAGTTCATCATCTTCCTAGGTTCGTGCTGCTTCTAGAGGAATTTGAACCAGTGCCCATGTTCTCAGTTTATATTCTCCTGCCTTCCTATGTTGCCACATCTGAGTAAAGGTATCTGGTGGACTTCCATGGTGGTCCAGTGCTTAAGACTGTGCTTTCAATGCAGGGGAATGGGTTCGATCCCTGGTCAGGGGACTAAGATCCCACATGCCACATGGTGAGGACAAAAGAAAAAATTAAAGGTATTTACCCACATCATCTCTCCCTTGAGTGTTTTAAATGCACCCCAAGCTGAAAGATCTTCTTAAAGCCCAAGTTTGATTCAGGAGGCTCTGCTAGGCAGCTGGTCAGATAAGGGGATCAAAGGTTTCAACTGGGAATAAGTTATCACTGACTTTCCTGGGCTCTTCTGCCAGCAAGATGTCAACAGCTCTCTTTGTTATGAATGCATTTCCTAGGATCTGGCCTGATGAAGACAAAAGGGAAACTTGATCCTCAGTCAAGAAGATAGGCACCTCACCCCCAGCAGTGGGTCAGAAAAGTGGGCATCCTGCCACACCCCAAGGGGCACCCTACAAACCAGTCAGTTGAAGGTACTTTAGAAATTCAGTCTTTAAATAGACTGCAGAATAATGATAGAAGTTTATTTAGTACACTGTGTGTAAGAGAAAACTATAAAAATATTAAGCCATATTCTTTTTTTTCATGTATGAAAATTTAAATGTGCCAAGTTATTTGTGCCATGACCAGAAAAGTAAAGGTGTATTTACAACTCAGGTTTGTTTACATGTAATAGTCAACAATGTCTGGATTTTAATGTTTGAATATTAGCTGATGGCTGAATATTAGCAGAAGCTTGTCTCTCCGTGAAACAGTGCAGTTTTTTTTTTTTTTTTTTAATTAATGGATGTTAGTATTTAGGACAGGTTTTTTGGGGGAGTGGTTATTTTATTTTTCCTTTGGCTGTGCCAGCTCTTAGTTGCAGCATGTGGGATCTAGTTCCCCGACCAGGGATGGACCTGGACCCCCTGCATTGGGAGCACGGAGTCTTATCCACTGGACCACCAGGGAAGTCCAGTAGTGGTTAAATAGTAGGATATCAGTAGTTTCAAATCTTCTATAATTGATTATATTTATGATGAAATGTTAGTCGAATGATAAAATAGATTATTTTGTCTAGAATTCAATCCAGTCCCCCAATCAAAGTGTGCTTGTAATCACCTGCAAAATTCTAAGGAACAGATATCACTGTGGTAGCAGCCTATGTGAATCCATGGAGGCCAGTGTGGTTTTGGCAGATGTTAAAAATAGAGCAGTGGGCACTTGCCTAGGAGTCCAGAGTTTGAGACTTCGCCTTCCAGTGCAGGAGGCGTGAGTTCTATCCCTGCTCTAGGAGCTAAGATCCCACATGCCTAGCAGCCAAATAAAAACAAAAGGAAAAACAAAAGCAATATTGTAACCAATTCAATAGGCTTCAAACAGACTTTAAAAGCAGTCCACATCAAAAAAATATAAATAGCAATTTAGCTGGACTTCAAAATGGGCAGGATGAGTGATGGGACTCGGTCATTGAATCATAACATGGAGTTTAGTACCATTTGTACAATGATATAGGTTGCCTTCAGCTGAAAAGCCAAGGGCTCTGTCTCATTTCTTTTTTCCTCCTCTCCTTTGCCTTCCCTTGTCCACCAAGGCAGTTGGCCCGGCAGCAGCTGAGTCATGCTTGTTTTACCCACCACATCCATGCAGCCTATCTCCTTGCCCAAGGCAACAAAACCTCTCCAAGTCATTCCTGAGCAACACCACCAATGACTGACAGTCACTCTGTGTCCCCCCACCCCCGCCTGCCAGACTCCCCTGAGGACCTTTTGGAGGAGCTCCCTCATGACAGAGCAGAGGAAGAAACCCTATCTAATGCCAAGGTAAGG